TTTTTTTTTTTGGCATAGCCAAATGCCCCGAAAATTTACGGATATGTACTTCACATAATACAAAACTCGTGAAAAAAGTTTTAAAAAATAATAAAATTGTTTAGGCCCCGAAATAAAGTGAAAACAAAAATTAAAAAGTGAAAAAAAAAACAAAATACTAAAATAGTGAGTGGGCGAGCATGTTTTGACACTTCTATTTTTGGAGGTTTTTTAATTTTATTTTGGCTCAGCAAAATGACTTCAAAATTTATAGGCATGTACTTCACATCATAGAGAACTCACAAAGAAAAATTCAGAAAAAAAGTTATTTTTAGGTGCCAAAATAATTTTTGGCAGGGGCCGAACCCCTTCAGGTTTGGACCCTGAACGGGACCCCGAATGCCCGAATGTACGGAGGTCCGCCCAGGGCCCTCTGTACGTACGGGATGGTAACCCTGCTTAGCGAAGAGTGTCCCTTGTGCCTAAACCTAACAATTAATTGATGACCTTGAAACGGTTCTCACCTTTACGGTAGCAGATGCTGTTCCCAGGGCTCGATCCCTAGACGTCGCCCTTACCCGTGTACAATATCAGTGCCCTTCAGTATCATGGCATTTCCCTAAGGTTAGACTACGAATCTCTTCGCTGTTGGGACTGCATAGCCGATCTACGACGTCTGTCTTCTCAAACAGCAACTCGGTAGTGGTGCGGTAGTTAGGCTCACTGGCTGGATTCTCCTTGACTCTTTCGAGGAGATCGCTATAGATAGGGTCCTGCGCGTACGCATCTGCAACGTTTTACTGTAAGTCTGACCCTATATCCAGATAGTGAACTATGGCTCCAAAGTAGTCAGCTCTTCTACTAAGGGCGTCTGCAACCACATTGTGCTTTCCTTTGACTGGCTTGAGCTCAAAGTCAAACTGGTCAGGTTTTCTTACCAGGAGCCGAAAGACGACCGCTGGTTTACACGAACAGAACTTCTAGAGACTGCTCCCGACGTAGTCCGTGCCTATGAAAGAGCTAAGAAAGATAAAAGTCCTGCTGTAGATTGAAATATTCTCGGAGGACCTGGAATTTAGGCCGGCGGAAACGGTTTTCACTTTTACGGTAGTAGATGCTGTTCCCAGGGATCAATCCCGAGACCTCGCCCTTACCCGTGTACAGTATCAGTGCCCTGTCTATGTGTTTGAACCCGCCACCTGTGTTTTGAAAGTCGCCTGTTCGTTTGTTGTAGATAGTCTGGTCGGGGTCGTAGCTGCAACAGTCCTGAAAGGTCAAAGTCTAAAGGCTTCCGGAAGGCCCGGAAGCGACCTTTCGTAGGGTCCTAAGAGTCAGTCTAGGGGCAAGTGGGCTCGTAGGCAGTCCAACCTCGCCTAGTCAGTGGTACCCATTCCTGGTCGCACTTTGTCAAGTCAGCAAGTACCATGTGGGACTATGTGCACCCCGGGCCCAGGGTCCAAGGGCAGACCATTGACAATCCGAAGTATAAATCAAGAGGCAGCGTGAAGTCATTCATTCATTCTGCCTGTGAGCCATGCGGAAGCGCTGCCTTAGCATCTTGTGCAAGGAGGTCTGCAGGTGCCCGTCAGACGAAGAGGGCTAAGAGGAGGGAGATCGGCCATAACCGATAGGTGTTAGTGTAGGAGGAAGACGGTGGCCATAGCCGCCACATCAGCAAGATAGGCGTTAGCGTTAGTACGTACGTGTGTGCGTGTGAAGGTGTTGGTGTTGAGTGTGTGTGTGTCGGGACATCCAGGGAGATCCAGTGTATGTGTACGAACAAGTTGTTGGGAGCACAAGTGTCGGCCATAGCCGACCAAGACATTTTTTAATCTGAGTTGTGTTCTTGGCTCCGTTATCTCTGATCTTTGTGTGGCTGACGAGTCGCCAGCTTGATCGTCATCTGTTCGTATGCATGCTGAAGGTCGAAGTCGAAGAGTCTGATTGCAACCTAAACAAAAAAAAACTAAATAGAGCCTTGATATCTGAAGGCTGGGGATCCAAGACACATTCTCTTATTCTCGAGCCAAACCTAGGAGTGTTTATACACATGCCCTCTTCTCCCTCTCTGCCTACGGTTCACTGGGTAGTCCTCTCTCTCTGTTGCCAGGCCGAACGTACGGAGGCCCCTAAGCTGACCCCCGAACTTGAAGGGGTTCGGAACCCGCTAAAAACTATTTTGGCACCCAAATATTATTATTTTTTTCTGAATTTTTTTTTGTGATTTCATTGTGATGTAAGGTATCTCCCGCCTAATTTTGAAGTCATTCTGTTCAGCCAAAAAAAAAAAGAAAAATCCTCAAAGGTGGTAGTGTCAAAACTTGCTTGCCCACTCACAAATTTGTTTTTTCTCTCTTTTGACTTTTTGTTTTTCCTTTATTTCGGGGCATAAAACAATTTATTATTTTTTCAAACTTCATTTGCAGATTCTCTATTATGTAAGATACACATATATAAATTTTCATGGCATACGTCACAGCCAAAAAAAAATGAAAAATCGCCAAAGATGGCGGTGTCAAAAACGTG